ATGTGGGCACTGCCATGAAGAGCTTCCACAGCACCTCTGAATGTTCTTCTTTCATTTTCCAAACACCTCCTAAATCTTCATCATGGTAATATTTCATGATCAACTATAGACTCATAAAATCTTGAAGCCATTTTAATTCCTTAAAAATCAAGAAACATTGGGTAAACTTTGGTTGTATCTTATATAATAAAAGCCTAATATGCTAAGTGTCCAGTCATTTAGTCATCAGTTCAAATAATCAAAGCATAATATGCTAATGATATGCTAAGGCTGCTCAACTGCTTGCTATGAGGTGCAATGAGCACCAGGGGGCAGACAGTCGACCGGTAGACCAATCAGGACTGAGCAAGATGGGCTAGACACACCCTGGAGCCCTCCTAGTCCCTCCCCAGCTGGCCAACCTCCTGTGTCCCTCCCTGGCCCCAATTGTGCACCAGGCCTCTAGTTTATATATAAGACCTAATTTTGCATTCTCATGTCTACTTGAGATGAGCTCTACAGTTTCAAGTTTCTAAAGTATTTATAGAAGAAATGTAATTTCTGAGATGTTTAAATTTCTGCCAAAATCATCTTGTTTTGCTAGGAACTGAAAACAAGATTCCAGCTCTGGTTTGGCCAGTGTGGGGCATAGCTGAACAGATACTCTCTCAGGTGTGAAATTTATATGAACACAGTAAATGCTGGCTTGTTGTTGTTTTTTTTTTTTTTCTTTGTTTGTTTGTTTTGTTTTGGTCAGCCAAGTGACACTTCAGCTCATTTTGAACTTCTTGTCATTTAATCCCATAGTTCTCTTTTATCTTGAATTCCTTAGCAGAAAGACAAATGGGAAATAATTTCCTTAGGCAAATTTAGGATAGACTTATTGGCAAGTATAACATGGTCCTTTAGACTTGCCGTGTTGCTTGTGGGCATCTTGCTGCTAATTTTGCTTTTGAAGCCACAGGCAATGAGGGACATGGTGTCACCCACTTAAGGGAGGTGTGCAGAGTGTCTTGAGACTAATCTACTCAGACTCACACAAGGGCTTCAAAGGGAGTTGAACGCTGGAGTCTTTTTCATAAATTTCTATGTTTTTCTATCTTATACATAATGTTTTATTTGTTACTTTTGAGTGACTGAAAGAGAAGATATAAAAAGGAAAAAACAACTCTTTATAGACTCAGTCACCCAAATGACTCCTCAAAGAAGCTTACAGAGCAGCAGTTCACTAGCATCTCTCTCTCTCTCTCTCTCTCTCTCTCTCTCTCTCTCTCTCTCACACACACACACACACACACACACATATACACACAAATAGTTAAGCAATCATCTGACCAGTAGCTATGATGTTTAATGACCACCAGAGGGCAGACGCTCAATGCAGGAGCTGCTGAGCTGCGGTGACTTGGCAGCGGCGGTTCTCAGGTGATGCACCCTGGAACCAAAGAGGAGGGAGCCTGATTCTGGGTGCATAGCCCAAGAACCTTCCTCTTACAATCTGGGACCCCTTGGAGGATGTTGGAGAGCTGGTTTTGACCCAATCCCCACAGGCCAGGCCGAGGGACCCCACCTGCCAGAGGGACCCCACTCACTCCACAAATGCCCTTTGAGCCACGGCGCCACCCCAGGTGCGGCCTGCAGGGAGGGACATGGGAGGTTGGCTCCAGGGTGTGTCCGGTCCATCCGCTCAGTCCCGCCCTGCTGGGCACCTTCTAGTTAATTTCCTTTCAATGTGCATGAATCCATGCACTGGGGCACCAGTTGCTTGATAAAAGCAAGTGGGAGCATGTGACGTCTCATCATACATTAATGATACACTAATGAAACAGAGGCCCCTGTTGTGTCTGCAGTTCTGAATTTGGTAAAATATCAAGATTCAGACTCTAAACTGAGAAGAAACCACATTGACTAATTCAGGGCCATATTTTTGCTCCTGAGAATATTTTTCCAATTCTTTGACTTAAACTATCTGGTTTTTATCAGGTCATGTGTCTTTGTTGAGATCCACATTCCTTGTGCCCTCAAGGCCTCCATAAGCAGGAATCTGTAGCTGGTCTGCTCCTTTATCTTTAAGCAACAAGGGACTTGTTTTCTTATTTTCCTTTAAAAATTGTATTTAATATTTTAATTTCAAACTTTACAGGGAATTTCATCAACTATTTGAGTCCCTACTATGTAATAGTTAGTGTGTTAGTTGACATTATACAAGGAGTGTGTTGAGGATCATTGATTCAGCCCATGCCAGTCTAAATCAAATGACAACACTTTTCCATTACAACACAGCCACTTATGTACTTATAATGTATGTAAGTACCCTGTCTCCTTAAGGAGAGCCTCCTATATTCCAAACAAAGACAAAGTCTCTAAAGTGTTTATTCAAATAAAACTGGTTCAAAAAACCAGTTAATGTGTAGAAAGCCGAATCTACAGCTATAGACTCTCTGCCTATCAATAGGCACCAACATAATTTGTATCATTTTCTTGCGATTAAAATCCACTATCACCACCCACCCTCCAGATATTCTACCTATTAATGCTTTCAAAGGTGTGAATCATATGTGTCACTCATGAATTAAATCCAATCTTATTGTCAATGTGACCCTAAGAGTATGAATAAATATTCAAAGTCCTTTCGATGCCTAGGTTGTCTGTCAGCTGAACATATTTCTCACATGGATTTTATTGGTCAGTGCAGTGTGGGTTCCTACCACACTATGGTTTTAAAATTTTTAACTTAATTTCCAAGATTTAAAAATTGATCATTTTTGCATTTATATTCATGAATAGCATAATTACTTTTTTACTAATGTATGTCACTGCCTCCTTTAAGACAGAACACCTACTTTCTACCAGTCTTCTTGTCTCTCTTTTTCTCTCTCTTTTTCCCCTGACAGTGAAGCTGTGTGTCAGGTTTCATTCAGCATCTAACACAAAGCCATTTTTATTCCTTGTCTGGTCCCTGTAGGCATTTTACTGTGGATCTGTTTCTATCTCATTAAACAACTTTGGAGAATAGTTACATTTACTTACATGTTTATTTTAGTTTTATGGTCAAAATTGTTTTTGGAAATGTGCATTGCATCATCAAACCTAATGAGTGCCTTTTCTCTTTTATTTGGAAAATATTTTTATTCTTAGAGTGCTATTTGCATATCCCAATATTTTGACACAAGGACATCAAATGGATGTAGACAAGATGACAGTGTGTAAGGGAGGCAGTGGTTAGCTTTAATGAATTTACCATTTCGCCTTGAAACTAAAATGGAGAGAAACAAATCCTATAGAAATACAGAATAATTTGAGAGAGGATGTGAGTTTGGTCTATCTACTTTGATTGCTTGCAATTTGCTTTGGAATCTCTTACTGAAAATATATCAGAATGTGAAGACTCAAAATGTATCCTGTGTTCAAGTAGCATTCAGAGATGTGCTTTCAAATAGAAACAGAAGTCTTAGTTCAGATGAAAATTAGTGTTACTACTCCCATTGTTCAGCATTTCCCATAAATCAGACACCATGCTAAGTGACTATATAGTCTCATATAATCCCCTCTATAACTCTGTGATATAGAATATATCTCCATTTTAAAGCTGAAGATACTGGGAAATCTCAGAAATATAGTGGTTTGCCCCAGCTAACACAGCTATAATCTCAGGTAGGGCCTGAGATTCCAGAACAAATTTGTCTATTTCTAAAGCTCTATCCTCAAAATTACTTGTCACACTACTTGTTCCTTGTTATGTTTCCCAAATTATTAATCTGGAATATTAGTTTGTTGTCTCTAAACTCAGAGCTGCAAATGATATTGAAATATAATGTTGGTTTTGAGTGTTTGTGACTTCTTTGTGGATATGGAGAGAGAACCAATATGTACCTTCATGCTCTTGTTATCAACTGGCTGCATCAAATACCTCATCCTGAATACTGGAGCAGGTCATTATGCCTTTGAGTTCCTATTACCAGCAAGATGACCAACCCAGCATTTAACTGAGGCTGTTAATGGGATGTCTGCCCACTTGAGTGTAGCTCTCAGACTGCCTCATATGATTCAGTTCTGCTCAGATTAACATAGATTTATGACATACTTGTCAAATTATACTTGGGATATATACCAAGTATATGACTATGTCCCTGTCCCTTCTGTCGTGTGACCTTAGACAAGTTTCCTAATATATCCAAGCCTTAGTTTCCTCATTGCTAAGCAGGAAAAATTATACCACCTGCCATAGGGGTGTTGTGTGGGAAAAATAAACTTATTCCTTAGCATATTGCTAGCTCAAAATATTTATTAATTCAATATCAGTTTCTTACCTACATCTTGTTTTTATTTTCAGTTAAATGGTATGTTCTCATCAGTAGTCCAGGAACACAACTTACAAAGAGAAAAAAAAATCAACAGCTTAGCCCTATTATTTTAAAATTATTTTTCATCACAGGGTGACTACTCAGTTCCCTACTTGCATGGTTAACAGAGATAAAGCCAGAGTCTCTAACAACCAACATCCTTAAAACACAGAACAATAGGAAGAGCAACAAAATGAAGAGTGACTGCAAAGACTTGCCTGTATGTAGAGTTAAAAGGTGACAGAAGCATCCTAAGCTGTTTGACACTGTTGGCAGGTGGCTGAAACAAGTCCTTGGAGTGATTCATGTGGGATTTGTGATGCCCATTTCAAGTGAGCTCTGGAGACAGGCAGTCTCTTTATGGAGAGAGGCGGCATTTCATGTTCTCTCAGCATTGAACTGGGCAGTTGTGTGCTCTCAGCCACGGCAAGCAGAAGCAAGCTCTGGAAGGACTTAGGGAAAATGTAAAATCTGCTTGTTTGGGGAAGCTGGCCATAGATTTTGCAATTGGCATTCTAGCCTCACACACGTTTAGGAGATGAAAGGCCCTCTGTTACCCTCCTCCCTGTCCCACCCTGCTGCAACTACCCAAATCATTTTTAAAAAGAGGAGCCTTGATAAAGAGTCCCTAGGTTATCCACGTTTTCTCCTCTTTTGTCTTACATTTATGTTTTTCAGGACAAATGATACTGGTTTTCTTTCCTTCAAAGACCACTTGCCTGTCACTCAGATAGTTATCACTGATACCAACAGATCAAACTCAGAAGCTGCTTGGAGAATTGGTCCCTTGCGTTGCTATGGCGACCGTGAGTACTAATGAAAGAAGCTTTCCTTCTGCACTACATAAGCACAGGATGTCCAAAATTTCCCCCTTCCCTTTCCCTGCAGTTCCCCAGGCTTCAGAGTTATCATACACTTGCCCAGCTCTCTGTACCCTATTTCGGAACAGTCAACCATGCTCAAGGCTTTTCTTACTTACAGGACACTTCTGGAACGCAGTCTCCTTTAATACAGAAGCCTCCTACCTCCACTTTCCTACCTTCCATGCGGAATTCAGTGCTGACATTTCCTTCTATTTTAAAACCACGGCTCTCTCTGGAGTTTTCCTTGAAAACCTTGGCATTACAGACTTCATCCGCCTTGAAATAAGCTGTAAGTTCCCTCCTTTATGAATTACTAATGTAATTGGTCAGCAGGAGAAACTTCAGTCTTACCTTTGCCACTGAGTGCCTGTTTGTATCACAAAATTAATCTCACTGGACATCTGTAAAATGAGCAGTGACAACTTCTAGTTCCTTCTAAGGCTTTTTGCATTATTATTATCTATCAGTATTTAATCAGTCATTCTCTCACCACGTTACTGCATCACCCAAATGTTCATGGCTACCTATGGCAGCATTCTTGATCTGATCCATGGGTATTTCTTACCTATGACTTAAGCTTCCAAACCACAGATGTGTTCATGACAGTTCCCATGGAAAGCTAAAGTGTTGTTATTACGCCTTCCATTCATAACTGGGGCCCACTTTTTTTGTTGTACTTTTGCTCTGAAAGTAATTTCCTCACTTATGTTCCACCACTAGGATTGTGTTACTACCCCGTGAGATCCCCATAGTTCCTCTCCCATCGCACCATGAACTTGGGTGTATCTAGTGCGTTTGATGACAGTACATATCATTTTTAACATCCTATCTCCTATATACAAGTTATATTTAGAAATAATTATAAAGTTAAATGAAAAATAACAGAATTCAGATGGCAAGATGTTGTATTATGAACATTTAATATGTAATCTTGTCAATAAAAATAATGCAGTACAGAAAAAAAAGACAATATAATAGATAAATACTTTCCACTTACATTAATTACTTTTTATAAAAAAGGAAAGATCATACCTACTTATTGGTTTGTCTAGTAACAATAATAACATTAAAATTTCTGTTCCTTAGACCTTAATTGTACAAATTTATTAATGACTGCATAAAAATATTTTAAAAAAACTATAATCAGGTGTATCTACCTGTTTTCTCCCAGATTTATCAAAAAGATACTCTTTATACATTTTGAATTAATTGTTTTTCACATGGGTAAGAAAAGGATAAATGTCAGAAACTGTTTCAGACATAAGGGTAAGGTTGGTACAGATTCATAAAAATCCCATTTTATAATAAATTTTAAAAATTGCAGTACTTTCCATGTAATCTTTTCAGAATTAAATTGAATAACTTCAAATATCTCTGCAATAAATAAAATAATCTACTAAAATATTTTTATCAGAAAATTCATCATAGATTGTTATTCTATTTGGTAAAAATCTAAGAGTTGCTGGGGATTTGGAACTGCTTGAGCTCTCTCTGTGTGCAGTTTGTGTCTGCAACCCCTGTGATACTACATATGTGTTTCAACAGATTTGAGTTAAACAATATTAGTACAGTAATTATAAAAGTGAAAACTCAGAACTTGAGTTCTTACCGTTAAAAATAAATGCATACAAAGAAGGTTTACAGTTGTGAGAATGTGGAACAGTTTATTCTTGTGTTATTATTTATTAATTAGAGGCCTGGTGCACAAAATTCGTGGAGTGGATGGGGGTTCCCTCAGCCTCACCTGCACTTTCTTGCAGTCCAGGAGCCCTCAGGGGATGTCTGACTCCTACACTGCCGCTGCACTCACCAGCTGTGAGCCTGGCTTCTGGCCGAGCAGTGCTCCCCCTGTGGGAGTGCATTGACCACCAGGGGGCAGCTCCTGTGTTGAGTTTCTGCCCCCTGGTGGTCAATGCACATCATAGCAACAGGTTGTTTTGCTGTTCAGTCAATTTGCATATTAGCCTTTTATTATATAGGACTATTGTATTATTTTTCATATGGACAACTGTAAACCTACTTTTGCTTCACCCTTTGTATTTGTGTCTGCGTGTTCAGGAGTCACCAGTGGATCTGGCATTCTCTGTATTAATTTCCCTTTTGCACATAATATTTTTTAAATAGTAAGTAATAAAAAGTGCTCTTTGAAGTTTACATGCACATGATTAAAAATAATACTAACATTAGCACTGGATAGAACTTAAACAAAAAATATTTTTTTTGTTAGAAAACTGTGTTATCATTGATGTTTAGAATCACTGGTGTATGGCAATGATGAAAAACAGATCTACTTTCAGCTGTGTGGGCTAGTTTTCCTATTTGCTGCACTCAGGGTACCCCTTTATGTCTCATGCGTAGGTGGACTGCTCACACGGTTTTGCCCATATTGTACACATAACCATGGAGACTCACGCATGTTATTAGGAGGCTCATTTATCTGCGTCTAAATGGATGTGTTCTGTAGCTTGATTGAGGCAATTGACCATATTGCAATAATGTGACCTCATCATATTCCCTTGAAAGCGCAAGTAATGTCTTACCACGGAAACCTGGAATTTAAGAGCTCCAGGAAGAAGGCAAAGGGCCCTGGCCAGAGGGGGTAGCGGCTGTGTCTGTGTGCTTCTCCTGAAAATCACCCGTGGCTGAGTGTTCCCTCTGCAAGTGCACAGGAGGCATGAGGCGTACAAGGGAAGGGATTCTTTTATTGGCAGTTTTGACCTCCTTTCACTACAACAACTGAGACTATCACTGGGAGGAAACTCCTGTCTTTAGTGTAAATTAAGATCCCTGATACATAACGGCCTGGAACTGAAAATGTGGAGTTCAGTGCCAACCATTTCATAATGTGAATATAATAACCACAACATAAATTTAATAAAAATTAGGCCCCAAGGCCACTTGATTCATTCTAGGATCAGCAAATGTCATGGCTTATCATCACAGGCTAATGAGTGATGATTTGGTGTTAATTATGTTGCAATGCCCAATTTGTACTTTCTGGTGCTGTATTTTGACTTTGGGGTTATACAAAAATGTTTTAAATGCAAGTAATATTACATTTGAAGAAAGTGTAAAATCCATGAGCATTAAGTTATAAACAACTTGACAATTAGGTACTGTTTTTATTCCTATTTTACAAATGAGAACACTGAGCCTGCACAAGATAGAAAACGCCTCAGGTCATGGTGGCTCTGGAGCCTACTCTCAAATTTTACTTTAAGGCCTTTAACATATTACTTCCCTTTAGGTCAGGGCTCACATTTGCCAGATGCAAAACAATTCAAGTTCTCAGTTACATGAAATTTTGCAGATTGGGGTTTCTTACACCAGGACTGGCTTTCTGTTAGGGTTTAAAGCTAAGGAGGGAGAGTTCCAGGGTGGCATTTGATCTTTGACAATTCAGGTCTTGCAGTTGATGACTTTGTGAAATAAGTACCCATGTTCTGTTTTAGAGGTAAAGGCGAGGGGCCATCTCAGGGTGCTGGGAAAGAAGGGATGATTCCCGCTATGGAAAGGGGCTGTCTTCTCCTCAGCCTCAGTGTATTATTTACCTCTCCACTTCCTTCAGATTCAGAAAAATTTCATGTAATAATCTATATATATAAAAGTCTAAGTGACCATCCGACTGTCCGACTGGTAGCTGTGATGTGCACTGACTATCAGGGGACAGATGCTCAATGCAGGAGCTGCTGAGTTGCTGTGGCTTGGCAGCGGCGATTCTAGGGTGATACATCCCGGAACCAGAGAGGAGGGAGCCTGATTCTGGGGTTTGTCACCTGAGAACCTTCCTCTCACAATCCAAGACCCCTCAGGGGATGTCGGAGAGCTGGTTTTGGTCTTATCCCCACAGGCCAGGCTGAGGGTACCTCACCTGCCAGAGGGACTCTGCTCACTCCACAGATGCCCTTAGAGCCATGGTGCCACCTCAGGTGTTGCCAGCTGGGAGGGACCACGGGAGGTTGACTCCAGGGTATGTCCAGCCCATCTCCCCCAGTCCCACCCAGCCAGCCACCTTCTAATTAATTCCCTTTCAATGTGCACGAATCCGTGCACCGGGGCACTAGTAGGAAATGTAACAGCATACACTCAGTTGAGAAAAATATGGTGATTGAGTCTACGTTTAGAGTCAGATTCTACTTGCTATTTGGGAAACTTAGAGAAAATTATTCACACTGATTTTTTTAACCTATAAAAAGGAAATAAAAATGATGCCTTTCTTAAAAGGTTATCTTGAAGATGAAATGATGGAGTCTATGGTCACTGCTTACTGCAGAGCCTGGAAGAGCTCACTATTCCAACTGTGCTGTGTGTACTTCTCCTTTTGTCTCTCTCTTCATGGATCTATCACCATTGCTGCCACCCAGCACCACCATCATCTTCATACCCTGACTTGAATGCAGATTGATACAGAAGGGCAGAGTCAGGGAAGGAGCCCAGAGTTGAGGGGGTGGGGTGCCTGTGTTATCCCAAGCACCAGCACTTGCAACTATGTCTTCTTGGACAAGACACTTCAACTTTCTGAGTCTCTCTCTCTCTCTCTCTCTCTCTCTCTCTCTCTCTCTCTCTCTCTTTCATCCTAGTAATAGGGTGAATGCTCATATCACATGTATTAATAACATAACATGGGAGGAGCACTAGATATTCCAGGGGGTGGGTCTTCTCCTTGCAGGAGCAGAGCAGCCTAGCTAACCCAGCATTGATGGAATTCTGGGAGAACACAGTCGGAGCCAGAATAGACACAGGAAACCCAGAACCTTGGCACAAATGCATAATTATCAGATTAACATTGGTGTCCCAGGTCCCTATGCTATTACCTGACTTCTCACAATCTGGACCAACTGGGCCAACATGAGAGCTTGATGCTTCATGTTTGGTACATATTACTGCTAATGGTAATTTTGATAGTGCAAGGTTTCAGTGAAGTCCTCTTTAGCTGGCTATCGACATACGATCCTGTATGCTGCTCATTCATGACATTATTGTGCCCTGAACACACTGACAACTCCCTTCATTTCTATCTGTCTCCCTTTCTGGTTTCAGCTCCTTCTGAGATCACTTTTGCAATTGATGTTGGGAACGGCCCCGTAGAGCTCGTAGTCCAGTCTCCTTCTCCTCTGAATGACAACCAATGGCATTACGTGCGGGCCGAGAGGAACCTCAAGGTGACCTCGCTGCAGGTGGACAGCCTCCCGAGGATGAGCAGGGAGACTTCGGAGGAGGGCCACTTCCGGCTGCAGCTGAACAGCCAGCTGTTTGTAGGTAGGGGAAATCTTAAGGCGCCCGTCCTGCTAGAATCCCTACAAAACCACCCTGTGACCAGGCCCGGGGAAACTGCTTTCATTTGGACCTGAGAAATGATTAAAATGTGTCATAAAACATTTATAATGGTAAATTTTATTATACAAATTCTTTCTTGCTTGCCTCATTAGCCACAGCAATAAAAGATTATGCCACCCCATAGCAAATTTTAAGGTGATCTCAGACTCTTTTTGTAACTTTTCTCCTTGCAGATATGACCTTCAGCTATCCAGGGGCCCCTATTATTTTTCATATATGATTATACTATGCCCTTAGCAAAAGAACAGATCAGCTACTTATCCCTTAGTGGTGCTGGCTCCAAGTCAGTGGGCCACACTCCCCCTTTCGGCAGATACCTAATTCCTAAGAATCATCACTAACAGTGTAATGAAATATACTGACCCTCTGAAATTGATTTCCGTTATTAGTGATACAGGGAAGAAACTGCTAGTTTTTAAACGAGGGGCTTCGTTGATCCTCCTGTAATCACATCCTTGGGTGGCTGCCTTACTCTTGCACAGAAAAGCAGTCCTGGTCTCCAGCAAATGACTCTGCTGCTCATTCTCTCCATGAGACTCAGAATCAGGGTTCAGACAAGTGGTTCATCAGAACTGGCTGTCACTGCTGGTCACAGGGCTGGAAAGGCTCAGACATTATTCACTGACTCATTCATTCATTCATTCACTCATTCATTCATTCCAGTCGCGAAGGACATAAAACATGTCAGGACCTTGTTGGATGGTGGAGATTGGCAGGCAAGTTCTGTAATGACACTACTTTCAGAGCACACAGTTGTGTTGAGAGAGAGAGACAGAGAGAGAGAGAGAGAAAGGCAGGGGAGAGAGAGATAGAAAGGAAGAGAGAGAATGAAGGAAAGTGAAAGAGAAATTTTAGCTACATTAGTGCAGGTAGGAAAGGTCAGGACGGACTTACAGCTATAATTTAGATATGACTTTTTATAAGAATGTTGAGCAGGGCACATAATGCTTTAAGTACAAAATAGAGCTGTAAATGTTGGGGATATTATAATATTATCAAAGCCAAGAAGCTGCTCTTCTATAAAACGTGAAGTTTAAATGTTTAGAACAATTATATAAATAGGTTCCAAATGTGGCCACTCGATAGGATTTCATTTTCTTTCATTTTTCTTATTTAAACAACTCTCACAGTACATCACCTTCTTGTTAGCAACAAGATCCCATCAGCAATCAATGGATGTTTTTATTTGTTTCCTTTAAATTTGGATCTGTACAATTTTTAACTCTGAGGGAAGCAGTCACTAAAAGCACATAAGGTGAAAGAAAAGTAACAAAATATGTAATATTTTATTTTTTCAACAGGAATCATTCTTCATCTGTCATGTTTTTCATTTCTGACAGAAGCTTAGATATAAGTGATTAAAATTATATGTTTATAAAGCATTTACTTAATTAATAACCTACTTAAATGATATAATTTACTATTAAAATATTTATAAAATTTATATGGATGTTTTAATTCTATTTAAACATCACATTTTATTTTTCTGAAGAAGTCTGTTAGTCATCAAAATTTAATGTGTTTCTTTTTGAAATCAATTCAAGTAGTTTCCAATTTTCATAAATTATATTCATGCCAAAGTTTAATTTATCTTCAGGCAGTATGTATGAATCTTTCAGGCTAAAATGTGCATATAAAGATGGAATAATTTTTGATGCTTTCATGAAAATTTCATGGAGCTATGAAATTATCATATGTCCTGAATATGTGATAACTTTCTGCAAGCCAACAGGGAAAAGGAGGCAGCCATGCATCGTGGCAGGTTTTTCTCCTGATGTTCTGACTAAATTGCTCACAGAGACAGTGAGCTGGGAGCGGGCTTGAGGTGGAGCCAAGGCCCGCTGTGGTGAGAGCACCTGCTTCTGTGTTTCTCTCCAATACATTCCATCTCAAATAGTACTCAGCTTTATTGAATTTGTCTTCATGCACTTGAAGAAAAGTGCTGTTGAAGGCCATTTTAGTTTGTTGGTTTGAATTTTGTTTTTTCGTGTTCAGTGATACATCCATTTAGAAATATCAGGAGGCTGAAAATGCTGAAGTTGTAATATTTCTACTTTTATAATTGACTGGTTCATAAAAAGAGCAAAAGCAAAACAAAACAACTAAAAAGCATACCCTGCTTAGTTATAGCAGCCAAAATGAAGAAGCACATTCCCTATCATTTAGAAATGTAGAGACACTGGATATTGTTATGCATTAGGCAGAAAAAGATAGCATTAGTGTGTACTCCTTCCCTGGGATAGATTGAGTGTGACACTACTTAAATATTAATTTGGTTGTGTCTGACCAGATACCTTTAGCCATTGAACTATTTTTCAGCCAAAACAGAGTGTGGTTCAGCATTGCATCGCTGGTCCCACTGCTTGCTCATGGGTGCTTCCTGGGCAGGAGAGATGGGCTGAATTTATAATATAGGACGCCCCTCTGGGAATGTGACAAGCTGGAGTGTTGCTACATTAGCCAATACATGTTGATTCCCATAAGTAATATTTTCAGTCCAGGCTTTTATCTGCATGAAGGTTACATTTACAACCATGCGATTTTGCTGGTCACTTTCACAGAGTAGGAGAAACTTTATAACAGGTGACCTCTGAAATGTCTGCTGCATGCCTGGACTTCCATCTTTAGCACTCATGGAGGTCTCACTGTCAGCTTTGCTATTTCCTGCTAACGTGCCAGTCGCTGTGAGAATGAGGCAGGAGAAGCCCAAGAACAGGCACCACATAAACAGTGAAGCCAGGAGATCTGGGTATGGATACAGATGAACGGCCGGCAGGCCATGGATGTTGGTAGGAAGACAATAGCCTGAGTATGCTCACTGTCCTTAACCTCAGAATGAGAACGAAGAGGCTGGGAACTGATTTTTTGCAATTTGAGGATCTGCTATTTCCATGCACCTATGAGGAACGGCATCTTTATCCGTGTGCCGTGTGTCTGCAGCAGCAAGGATAAGTCTCATTCTCCACAAATCTGACATCCCATTGTTCCAGACGTGCTGAAATCAAAGAGTTGGTATTTCATAAAGGTGTTGGCCTGGGAGTCTCATTTTTGTGTGGCTTTATTTCCTTCTTACATTTTGGTCTTTCATGGAAACTTTCCCCCCCATTTTGGCTTCGCTTCTTATCTGTGCCAAAACAAACTAAAGTTACTCCAACATATAACTCCTGGGGAAAATTCTATACTGACTTGATAAATCATAAAATTGCAGAGATCCCAAAATGCTAGTCTTGCTTCCCCAGTGGCAGGGAATTAAAATTCCTGTTTTCAGGTGAATCGTGTCGAATGTGGTAGGGCACACAAGAGAAATGGAGGTGCCTGTACCTGCACTCAGGAGGGCCCGGGATTGAGCTGTGTTTGTGGAAGCAGTGAGCCTTTGCCCAGAAGCCACACGGAGGTTTTCTAAGAGGGTGAAATGATAAAGGTCATGTTTTGAAGAGTTTATTCATACTTAGTCCAAAGAAGAAGCATCACAATGAACACTCTTAATACCAAGAGTCAACTGAGGAGTTTCATACAAAAGTGCTTCTAGTGAGGCCAGCTGGTGGAGTAAGTTGTCAGGAAGAGTAATATGAAAGCAAGAGAATAAATACACATGTGCACATTACTTGGTAGAAGAAACCATGGAAGACACCAGGGGAATGAAGGGAAAAATCACTTAGTTGCAGTGCTGACCCAAATTGTCTAATCAGATAGTTTAATTTAGGATTTTAAGGATGTGAAGGTATATAGGCTTTGAAGATTAAAAGGTCTCAGTCTGATTCCTGGCTATGCTATGTTAAATCTGTTTTCATCTTGACTCTGGCCAAAGCAATGTCTTTGACATTAAGTTTTCTCAATTATGTAAATGATAATAATATAGATAATATATTTTTCCACATTGAGTATTTGACGAGTTCATTATAAAGTTTCTAGCAGACAGCAAATGTGTTTGATTGGTTTTAGAATTACAGGCATTTTTCTGATTCTCAAACGTCTTGCAGATTAAATATGACCCTCAATTAAATGATTTTCAGTAGCTTTAAGGATAATGCTACATTTTTGTTGTTCTTTTACTTTAAACCTTGTGTAAACTATAGACAAGATGCAGCCAAGTAAAGATAAAAGTATACAGGAGCATGTGAAAAATAAAATGAGTGCAAGGTCCAGGAAGGCCTTGTGAATGATGGAAGTGACCGTGGTGGGGATGCCCTCTCTTAGTGCAGCTGAGTCTTGGTGTGCAGGAAAGGAAGTTCATTGTCAACAGATCTCCTAAAATTTTTAAAATAGTTTTGTTTTTAGAAAATGGGGAAATTAAAATAGAGTGGGGAAGAAGTATGTGAACTAAGGAATGCATGTATATGAGTGTAGGTGTGTGTTTTTATGATGGTCAGGATGAAGGAGGGGAGCCATGGAGTGCATGGGGGAAGATGCCACACAACATAAATTTAAAGTACATGAGGAGTTCTAAAGTCAAGATGGACCATGGAGCACTGGGAAGCCATTAGCAAGCAGTTCAGATGCCTGCTGCCCTGAAGTCACAGCAGGAAGATGGAGAGATAAGTGGAGACTAGATCTTTCATGGTATATCAGCTGTGCTAAGGATTTGAATTTGATTTTCTGAAATAACTACTCTCTGAAGGGTATCAAACAGGACTGGCAGAATGAAATTTTTATATGTGGTTGTTCTATCCCAGTGATGGCGAACCTTTTGAGCTCGTCATGTTAGCATTTTGAAAAACCCTAACTTAACTCCGGTGCCGTGTCACATATAGAAATTTTTTGATATTTGCAACCATAGTAAAACAAAGATTTATATTTTTGATATTTATTTTATATATTTAAATGCTTTTTAACAAAGAAAAATCAACCAAAAAAAATGAGTTTGCGTGTCACCTCTGACACACATGTCATAGGTTCGCTATCACTGTTCTATCCTATTGCAAAATGGCAAGTGAATCAAAAGAGTCAGGGTTGAGACTGGGAATAACAGTTAGACAGCTGTTGATCGGATTCAAGTGGAGTGTGCTCTGGGTATGGAAAGAAGCAGATGAGCTCAGTGGAACCTGGGAGAGCAGATCCACCAGGCTGGATGGGAGAGAAGGGCTGTGAGAGAGGATTTCTGCACAGTATTCGAGTTTCACAGAGAGTCACACCTCCAGCACAACTGTACACATAGTAGGTAATATCAGAAGTGAAGGGTGCTGACAACCTGACAGGGCCTGGGTGTATGGGTGGGGAACACCTTTTCAGAATTATTCTATACTGAGTCTACATTCAAGGGTGGGCAAAAGTAGATTTATAGGTGTAAGAATGTGAAAAACAGGGTTTCTTCTTCTATTATTATTTATTAATTTTTGTATTATTTTCCATATGAAAACCTGTAAGCCTACATTTGCCAACCCTTCTATTACTTCTCCGTAAAGAATAAAGGAGTCTAAACTCTAGTTTTTCTTCCCTCATCCTATCTAATAAAGAGGGAATATGCAAATTGATCATAACTCTGTGACAAAGATGGTGGCGCCCACAGCAAATAAGGAGGGATTATGAAAATTGACTATCACTCTGCAACAAATATGGCAGCAGCAGCAGAGCCGGGATGCAGGCATTCCGTCCCACCTTGCTCATGGAGGATCTCTGGGTTCTGCTTCGTCACTGCTGCTGCCGGGGCCAGAGGAGTAGGGGGCCCAGCACCCAGCAGCCCCAAGCCCCATGGTCGCAGCGATGCTGGGGCCTCTGGGGCCGGAGGGGCAGAGACACAAGCCCACAGGGGAGCCCAGCACCCAGCAGCCCCAAACCCCGTGGTGGTGGAGGCGCTGGGGCTACTGGGGCTGCAGTGGAGAAACAAACCTGCAGGAAACCTGTGGAAAGGGACATAAATTATCATAACTTTATCTCCCTTTCCACAAGATGAGGAAACTGACCCTGATTTATTTAGTGATATGGCCCACACCTTTCTACCAGCACAGTTGACATCACACCCAAACTTTGTTACAAAATATCTCCCCCCGACCCCCATTCATCTTTCCTAAAAATCATTTACTCTCCTCTAAGGGGCCTACATCTCCCATCCCCTTTCCCTAAGAAGAAAGTATTTAAATTTGGATTCTAAGCCACCTTGGGGTGTTATTCATTTTTCCCTGGGATCTCCCACATGTACACAAAGTACACATGATAATGAACTTTTGTTTTTCTCTTGGTAATCTGTATTTCATTACAAGGGCCTCCACTAAGAACTCAGAAGGGTAGAGGAAAACTATTTTTCCTCCTCCATAATTCTATCTTGGGATATCAATTCCCGGGCTGAACAGTGAGGTTGGCTAAAGTGCCAAGCAATCCTGGCTGAGGGGAGGGAAGCTTCTAGAGGGGAATCAATGGTACTGGCATCAAAGTAGGACAGAAGGCACAAGCATGGTTGCTGGTGGGAGTTTAAAGTGGTTCCACATTTTTGGAGTATGATTTGGCAAAATCGATAGAAATGTTCAAGGTACATCCAAGAGTCTTCTTCTAGGAATCTCATCTACTAAGATAAAGCATGAGTGCATAAGCCCTGGTCAAAACCCAGGATGCTACTGTGGGATCCCCTTCCATGATAGGAAAACCTGCTAACAACCTGCATTTTTAGGCAAGGTGGCATCTATACGAATAAAAAGGTAATATGCTAATTAGACTGAACATCTTCCAGACAACCTTCCAGATGTCTTTCCGGACAAAGCCATGGTGGCAGAGCTGAGGCAGAGGTGGTTAGAGGCAATCAGGCCAGCAGGGAAGAGCAGTTAGAGGGATCAGGCTGGCAGGCAAGTGAGTGGTTAGGAGCCAGCAGTCCTGAGGGATCCCAGATTGAAGAGAGTGCAGGCCAGGCTGAGGGACCCCCCCCCTCCTCTGCATGAATTTCATGCACAGGGCCTCTAGTAGAGAATAAAAATCAGTCAGGCAAAAACTGAAATTTAGTTCATTTGTGATTTAGTTCATAGTCCTTTGTGTCATTGTGTTTTGTCAGCATGTGGGATTGAGCTAATCCCCTTGTCTAGGCTCATTCCCACCATGCTCTCTATGTCTCAACTTCAAGGGGTGCTTGTGTGCCAGAAAAACCCCCACAGCCACCTTTTCCATTTATAAGCTTGTCGACTTAGTCACAAGCAAAAAAAGGGGGGACAATAGATCCTGCATTCTCCACCTCCGCTAAAGAAAAATACCACTAACAAGACATATGAAGAATTATTTAAATCCATCACAGAGAGTGACTACAAAATGAGGGAAAATAGAACAAAACATAGGGCTACCTAAGTCCTGTCCTCTTTATTCTACACAATCTACAGGAAAGAAAGAATGAATACTCTTTCCTCTATGATCTGCTGTATTTAAAATTGATTTATCTTGTGGTTAAAGGAGATTTACTCACTAAAATTGAGACAGACAGGAGAATGCAATTTGGGTTTGACCTCCTGGCCAATGTGGGTATCACTTACCAGAACTGAAAATACAATGGGGTTTTATCATTCCTTCAGGATAAGAGACTAGATAAATCCTTTAGGAATATTTTGTCTTTAGGTGCAGATAGTGACTGACATACATATATTTTCATGTCTGATGACCTCGTGTGGTTCAGGGAAGGAAGAATTATCCCTGCTTCTACTTTATATCACCACCATCCCCATTTCCAATTATTTGCTTGTCCACCCTGCCAGGCTAACTGATTCCAGAAAATTTACATTACATATTCATTTCTTTAACATACCCAGCTTTGTTTCTTGTTGAACATGTATATTCCCACATTTGGAATTCATATCTGTACCCACCTTAGTGGGAATATATTTTTATCTGGTCATTTGCTAGACCAAGATTTAATGAGGTTGCAATATGAAGGACTAGAAATAAATGAGGCTCAGAAGCAGAGATTACTTACACAGGAAATAGATGGCAGCCAGGCTTTGTCTTCCAACACACCTTCTCCTCTCCAGCAGCACTCCGTGTAGACCTGGAAGACCTGAGTGCCCTCCAACTAACTCTGTGCATGGATTTGAGCCCAAAGCATTGAATTTAGAATAGAATTTAGGTTCTTTAATGCCAGACATATGTCTCCTCTGGAACCTTCCAGAATTCTCAACACAAAATAAATATCTCCTGATGGAATTTAGCTTAAATTTTTGACTTTTTGTTTCTTAAATGACATATTTCTGATATTAGAGGTTTAGGCTAATAGAATCCTGGATTTCAAATAGTAACACAACATTACGTATCTTTGAATTTACTCTGTTGATAAGTATTTGCAACGACCATTGTGGTTGTCTCTGAAACATTCAAGATACGCCCTCAGCTGAAAGTTGGATTGCAATCTTTTTCTGTATTCCAGAAGAAGAAATTTGTCATCTAAATAACAATTTGAGTGTAATCTCTGAGATCAATATGTATATACCATTGTGAGGGCTCAAGAGAAGGGGTAACAAAGAACACGGATTAAGATGTACTATATCTTAACTAAGCTTTACTATATACACATGAAATAGACTTATTCTTATTTTAGTAGCTGGGGTTCATGTGAGTCATGGTGGATCATCTAGTAACATGGAGTTGGACTCCGTATCTGTCTTCTCCTAAAGTCCACCCTCTTTCTAGTCCATCGCACTACACCGATAAGCACTGTAATGCTTTTGCAGTTTCTAATTTCACAAGCCTAACAGCTCGCTTCTAACTTTGCCAGAGGCACAATTTCCCTCTGTGTGTTACACTTCAGAGAAATGTCTGCAGTAGACTACAAACACATTTTATTTCACTTGCAAGGAGCATGACAAGTTTTTATCTTGAAGGTTCTACCTTACATATGTAAAGTACAGGGTTCCACATGAACGATAGTATTTTAAAAACAATTTCTGGGTGTGTGTTCATGGGAGTGGGAGGATGGAAGGAATGTTTCTCCTAACCTGAAAAGGCATGAATTTCCCCTAAATTTCTAATTCTATACTGAAACTTTAATGAAAAGTTCTACCACAGCATCGCAACAGAACAATAGTTGACTGTTACGAATGCCAATATTAAACTTAAAAAATCTAAACCCTCTGATACCTTATTATTTTTAATTTTGTTTTTCACCTCTTAGGAGGAACATCATCAAAACAGAAAGGCTTTCTAGGATGCATACGCTCCTTACACTTGAATGGGCAGAAACTGGACCTGGAGGAGCGGGCCAAGGTCACATCTGGAGTCCGACCAGGATGCCCAGGCCATTGCAGTAGTTATGGCAGCATCTGCCACAATGGGGGCAAGTGTGTGGAGAAGCGCAGTGGATACTTCTGCGATTGCACCAATTCACCATATGAAGGGCCCTTTTGCAAAAAAGGTACACTTGTCATGTTTGTTTTTCAATGTACCATGTAGTAGTAACTACAGTCTATGGCCAAGTCATATTATCCCTTCACCTTACAGAATCCTCAATCCATTATTTAGTCTTCCTTATTTTTTTTTCTCTTTTAAGAGACTCTGCATATCTCCTCAACGTAATTGAATAGCATCATTATCACTGTGCATCGGCCCTGACAGTGAAATTGTACTAAATGGATAGTAATAGGGCAAATAGGCTCGCCATGGCCAAGAGTCAGCTGAGCACTGGGAAAGGTTGACTCTCACTTCTGTTGGGTCACCTGAATCATGAAGGGTGCACTGAACTTTCCAGTTCCAATTATTCAGTCCATAAATATAATCAAAGACTCATATCCCAGCCAGCATAGCTCAGTGGTTGATCATCGACCTATGAAACAGGAGGTCACAGTTTGATTCCCAGTCAGGGTACATACTTGGGTTGTGGGCCCGATCCCCAGTGTGGGGTGTGCTGATCAATGATTCCCTCTCATCATTGATGTTTCTTTCTCTTCCTCTCTCCTCCTCTCTGAAATAAATAATAAAAACATATTTTTTTTAAAAAATAAAATAAATAAAGACTCATGGAATCTAGCCCTGGAGGAACCTTATAGAACCTTAAGCAATTCTAAGTAATTTTTTCAGTAGGAATAGTAGAAGTAAGTTAGTAAAATCAGTATCTTGTATTTAATAAAATATCACTATTTTACAGGTGACATAATTAGGGTTTGAGTCTTTAAAAGTGCTCCACAGACACTTATGTTTAGTTCATCAAGGGACTGAAGATAGAGCAGCAGAGCCAAAACTCCAGTCCTGATGCTTTACAGCATCCCCTCTGAATTTTATTAATTAATTGCATTGACAAAAGCTAAGCATGATGGATACACACCTTAGACAAGGAATGGCAGTCATGATGTAAATTATCTAGATGAATTCAAGGTAACGCTACAAAATGTAAAATCTCATTTTTCATTGTAAATACGTATTTTTTAAATAGAATGATGAAAAATTTGGTCAACTGTCTTTGCAGATGTTTAAGCTTATTTTATTGATAAAATATTTGTTGAATAAATAATAAAAAAATAATTTTTCAAGCGCAATATATAGAGCAGTGGTTCTCAATCTTCCTAATGCCAGGACCCTTTAATACAGTTCCTCATGTTGTGGTGACCCCCAATTTCATTGTTACAAATTGAACATAATTAAAGCATAGTGATTAATCACAAAACAATATGTAATTATATATGTGTTTTCCGATGGTCTTAGGCAACCCCTGTGAAAGGGTAGTCTGACCCCCAAAGGGGTCGCGACCTACAGGTTGAGAACCGCTGATCTAGAGAGGTCCAAGATGATGGTGGAATAGGTGAAAGCTGCACTCACCTTTTCCAGGGCCATACTAGAATTGCAACTAAAATATAAAATAATCAACCTAAATAACCAACTAAAGATTAGCTGAAGAGAAGTCTTATAATCAAGGATTTACAGAAGAAATCACATTAAAGGCAGCATGACAAGGGCTGGCCCTGCTATGAAAGGCTGCAGCTGAAAATTGGGAGGGATATCTCAGCTGTGAAGGTGCTCCTTGAGGAGTGTGAGGTTTCAACTCCACACCAGGCTCCCAAGAGCACCAAAGCCAGGCAAAGGCCCTTACATGACACCTGGCTGTAAAATCAGTGGGGTTTCTGTCACATAAAAAATTAGGAGTCTTCTAGAGACCCAGGTGCCCATTTAAAGGGACAACATACAAAATATCATTTGCAGTCGCTCACCCTGGGCTCCAGTGGAAGGAGGAAAAAGCAGACTGGAGTCATGTGAGAGGAGATTAACATTTGTGGCTTTGGGGAGAGTGCTAAATGGACAACTACCAGGATCCCTGTGCTGAGTCCTTCACTGAAACCACAGATGCCATCTTTGTTGAGTGAAGCACTCCATTATATATAGCATCAGCCTGGGGGAATGCAATAGCCCCACCCTCAAGACTCCCTTTCACTCCAGCCTTCGAAGCTCATAACCTATGGAGGAGTCAGCTACATGGACTCTGGGAGTAGAAGACTGGGAGGACTCAGTGTCAGTAACTGAGCTCTGTGGCTCTAGGATGGGGGCTGTATTTCCCTCACACATATGACCGGTGCAGAGTCCTTACTTCACGTGGCCAAATCTTGGTCTATTTGGACCTGATAAACACTACTGGTCTCACCCGGATGACTCTTTGAGACCCTGCCACACCTTTAGATACTTGACAGGTGGCAGCTACCCTTGGATGTTTGCTGAGGAGTCTCAGACCCAGCACTGGTACTGAGTTTGAATCTGTATTGATCTGGTGAACAACACATCCTATCTGGCAACTGACTGATAATCAACTTCTTGCAACTTGAGTACCATCAAAGGCTTTTCAGTGACTCAGCCTAACAGGCATCCAGCAGCCAGAGGAAGGTGGAGGAGGATCTTGGGGTGACTTGGGCCATTTGATGACCTGACCATAGGCTGGTCCTGGAAAAAGCTGGCTTCGGTGCACAATTTGGTTCTTTCCACGCATACCCAGGCCCAACAGAGGCAACCATAAACTGCGGATTGCTTGGTAGTTCCAAACAGGTAGTCCAGAGCCAGTCATAAGAGCATCTGACATTGACCTGCAGCACTGTCCCTCCCAAGAAGCCCCAAAATCAAAACACTTAGTGGCAAATGTCAGATGACATATGAGCAAGATCCAATTAGCTACACAAAAGTCACATCCAAAGGGATATCTCAGGAGGCATGCCAGGAGCCGGTCCATCCTTGCTGTTTCAAGGGACCTGGCGTATATGGCATACTGTTCTTAATATGTTTGCTCACCTTCTTGGCGCTATGTGTTTTAACCAAGGTCACCTCTCTGAGAAAGGTTGTTTCCCCAGGTAAGGATTTTCCCCTGAAGTTAGGGAGGGAATAAAACCCCTTAACTAAGTGCCAGGCGAGTAGCAAATCACTTTAACTATGAACAATCATGCTTAAGCTACATAATCTTTACTCCCTGGAATGGAGATAAGAAATGCCCTAACCTTTGGAATAGAGATTGATAGGATTGAATCAACTGGTATAAATACAGATGTAACAAGACAAGAAGGGACAGAACATAGAAAGCAGAACCTAGACACAGAACCTAGAGACAGAACCTAGCAAGAGAACCTGGCTGAAGATCCTGAGACAGAACCTGGCTACAGAACCTGGATAGAACATGGCAAGAGAACGTGACTAGAACCTGGTGACTGAACCTGGCTGGAGAACCTAACAGGAGAAAATGGCTACAGAACCTGGCTGAAGAACCTGGCTACAGAATCTGGCAACTGAACCTGGCTGGAGAACCTAGCAAGAGAACATGGACACAGAACTTGGCTGGAGATTGTGGCTAGAGATCCTGGCAAGGCTGCTGATCAACTGAACGCTGTCTCCATGTCATTCCTTCTTCGCCGACTCTGTCCACACCTTTGGGGAACCCCTGGACCTGCTGGGGTTGGACCCAAAGCAGAGGCACCAGATCCTGCTGAGGTGAATTTTGTTTTGTGTGGTCAGCACCTGAACAACAGGTTGTACACTGTGGTCATAGTTAATCCTCAGAGTCAGCCAGCATGAGGGTTGACTTCACACATGAATGGTCTGCTAGCAATCAATATTCAATTGCAACTGGAGGATTCATAGAACCTACACAAGGGACATTCCTAGAGCACCCAGCACAGGTGATTCAAAAGATTACACTACTGGATCCAAAAACACACCTACTACATAAGCCACTATAATAAGACTGTGATACAGAAAATTTACTTATTAATAGAAATGGACACAAAGAGGCAGGCAAATGGAGAGACAAAGAAACATTCCCCAAATAAAAGAAAAGAGTAATTCTCCAGAAAAAAAAGAAATAAATGAAATGGAAGCAAGCAATTTACCAGATATAAAGTTCAAAAAATGGTCATGAGAATGCTCAAGGAACTTAGTAAGAAAGTTAACAGTGTGAAAAACAATATAGAAACCATCAAAGAACCAGTCAGAAACTAAGTACACAATGTTACTGTAAACAATAAAATGAACAATACACTAGAAGAAATAAATATTAGATTAGATAAATCAGAGTATTAAATCAGTGACTTGGAAGACAAGGTAGTATAAAATACCCATCAGAGTAAAAAAATAAAAATAAAAAAGGAATACAAAAACTTAAGACAGTTGAAATGACCTTTCAAAGAATATGGATAGCAATAGCATCCTCATCATAGAGGTGCCAGAAGGAGAAGGGAGAGCAGAGGATTGAGAAACTATTTGAAAAAACAATGGCTGAAAACTTCCCTAACCTGGTGAAAGAAAAAGACACACAAGTCCATGAAGTGTAGAGTTCCAACAAGATGGACCCAAAGGGCATCATATCAAGACCCATTGTAATTAAAATGCCAAGTTTAAAGACAAAGGGTGAATCTTAAAAGTAGTAAGAAAAGACACTTAGTTAGCTACAAGGGAGCTCCCATAAGACTGTCATCTGATTTCTCAACAGAGATATTTTTCAATAGGCCAGTAAGGAGAGATATGAAATACTAAAAATGATGAAAAACAAGGACCTACAACCAAGATTACTTTACCCAGCAAAGCTATCATTAAAATGGAAGGAGAATTAAAGAGCTTCCCAGACAAGAAAAAGCCAAAAGAGTTTATTACCTACCACCAAACCAATATTACAAGAAATGTTAAAGGGATGTCTATAACAAGAAGAAAAAAACATATATGTGAATAATAAAATGGCAATAAATACTACCTATCAATAATCACTTACCCAACTTAGGATGAAAGACACACACAGACTAAAATTAAATATATATAAATATATATTTCATGCAAATGAAAATATAAAGCTGGGATAGCAATACTTATAGCACACAAAATAGACTTTAAAACAAAGGCTATAGTAAGAGACAAAGAAAAAAACTACATAATGATAAAGAGAGAAATCCAACAAGAGGA